TATACGCCCCACAGTCTCTGCAAGGACCGGCCTGGTTTGGCTAAGCCGTGATGTTAACTCTGGAAACTGAGGGCCAGAGTCCTAGAGCCACCGTGCCAGGCTGGTACCCCCACACGCTCTCTCCCCCTCGCCCCCCACCCAGTGCGAGTCACTCACTGCAGCTGGGCTCCAGTTGCCTGCAGGCTCTTTGGGACAGGGCTTACAGCCAGTGCAGCTAAACCGCCACACAAGGCCTGCAACGGGTAGCTGCCTGTGCTCCAAACCTGCCTGCAGAATGTGTGAATATAGAGCGAGGGGGCTGGCTGGACATAGGACCACTCCAGTGCCTGGGTCTGGGCCTGCAGCCACAAGGAAGGGTTCATCTCTCACACTGAACTGGGAGCCCAGTCGATGGAGCTTCAGAGCAGGGGCTGTTCTAGGACTTCCAGTGCCTGTTATTGCTGGAGTGACATCCCGGGGGCAGAAGTACCTGCTTTGCCCAGAACAGCCACAGTGCTGGCAGCAGTAGTGCCACCCCCACGCCTGTCTGAGCGCTGAGCAGCTTTGCTTTCGGCTTGGCCGCCTTTCTCCTCTCCCTGCTACGCAGGGGTCCCCATGCCCTTGTTCCTGCAGCTTGGCGGAGAGCACTCAGGCTCTGCCTCTTGTTACCCAGTGCCAGGTCCCAGGGCAAATGCTTCCAAGCCTGTCCTGACACACGTGCGCTCCCAGCACAGCCTGCTCTTTGGGGCTATGGGCAGAGCGGCACAGGTGCTGGGGGTACCTCAGTGAGGGACGTGCTGCTCTCGTGACAGCGGCCCAGCCATGACCACAAGGCAAGCACCAGCGAGCTGCTGCGCCGTGCGTGCTGGTGCAGTTCAGTGCACCTGGCGCCCAGGGCCCCGCACTGGTCTCTGACAGGCCCTGCTCCTCCCTGGGCCACATCCCCTGATTCTCCCACTCTCAGGCCAGGCCACCAGCCTATGGCATCCCGTGAGCCAGCCGCCATTACGCAGCAGGGTCGGCACTGGCAGCTCACCCCTTCGGGAGCGGTGACCTGGGTTCATACGGCGCCTCACCCCAAAGCCCTGTGGGAAATGAGGCAAAGTGTGGGAGAAAAGGGTTCGCCCAGGCTAAGCAGGCTGTGGGCTCGCCTAGCCGAGTGCCAGCTGCGCTGGTAAACTTAAGAATGGCCTGGTGTCTTCAGCCACCCCCACCCACCCAAGTGAGCACTTCTGTGTCACTCTGGTCTTCATGAGCAGCCCCCTGCTGCATTGGCTCTGCTCATGTCCCCCGGCACAACTGCTGGGCAGATGGTGCATCTTCTCAGCTAATGCGTCAGGCCTGGTCTCTCAACCTCCTGAGTGGCTCACCAGCAGGTGTTTCACCAGGCTCCACTGTTACCTTCCTACTCACTGCCCACAGTTCTGCTGTTAAACCAAAGCCAGACCGGCCCACTGCCCATTCCACTAACCCAGTTTGGCCATGCAGTACCGAGTCCACGAACCAGGTCCTAGAGGCCCTTTGCTCCATGGCCTTCACCCAGCGCTCCAGTACCCCGCGTGTCAGAGGGTGGCAGAGTGCCCAGGGTCCCTGCCCAGGCACAAGCCAAACGTGAGGTGGCTGCCCTAGTGCCAGGCTGTGCCATTCTGCATCTGCCACCTAGCTAGCAGCCCCCTGCTGCAGTGCATAAAACACTCCCCGGCCCTCCACACCCCATCAGGAGCTCTGGAAGGCAGGGCTATGTCACCCGCTGTGCACAGAGCGCTCAGCACTGTCCCAGCTTGAGGGCAGTCACGGCCACCAGCCATCATTCGCTCATCTGGTCTGACCTGTAGCACACAGGCAGGCCGTTATTTCACCCTGGAGGGAGCCTGCCCAGGAACTTGCTTTTGACTAAAGTGTAACGTGTTTGGCTAAAGCATCTTCCAGAAAAGCGGCCGGCTGTGATGTGAAGCCTTCAAGAACTGGCGAATCCACCCTGTCCAGTGGCTGATCACCCCACTTCAACATTTGGGCCCCATTTCCCATTTCAGTGGATCCGGTTCCAGCCATAGTTCTCCATCTGCCGTCCTCTGCTAGCGTTAAAGCGCCTGTTCGGCCCCAGCCTTTTCACCACATGAAGGTACTTGCGCACTGTATGTCCATCAATCTTCCTTTTGCTGAGCTGCACCTACTGAGGGCCTCAAGGCCCTACGTTTGAGGCATTTTATTCCGCCCGCAACTCATTGGGGTGGCTCTTTTTGGCACCCTCACCAGAACCCTTTTTAAAACGTAGCCCAGACCTGGCTGCAGTAGCCCACTAGGTCTCACCAGTCCCGCCACTGAGGTGAAATCCTCCCCCGGCAGAGAGTGACGGAGCCTGAGGGCTGAGTCATGAAGAGGACGCTGGGGGCCCTGGACTCATGCGGGTGTGCAGGGGGAGATGACAACGGGAGAGGCACCACCAGGAGAGGGGACGCCGCTAAGAGAGCTAATTCCTGAGACAGCCAGCAGGAGGCACCACTGGTGAGCGAACCCTGTCACAGCCTTACAACGTAAAGAACAAGGATTACCACCCCGTTCTGCGTCCAACACCCATTCAACAAGACGGCACTGCTCACACTCCATCCCACGCACCCCTCCAATGGGGAACAGTGGATGTGCAGCTGAGACTCATCACCCACCGCTCAGATTTTCTCTTAGGCCAGGTCTACAGTACCACTTACCTCAGTCTCCAGGCCAGCTCCAGCCGTGTTGTCAATGGCACCAGAACCCAGCCAGAGCAGCAGCGTGCGGCCGTAGCTCGGCCTGGCCTGTTCGTCGGCCTGGCCTGTTCGGGTCTAGTTCTGTGGGGTTCCTTCGTAGCGCTCATGTCGTAGAGAGAGCGAGAGGCCCAGTGAGGCCAGGAGCCCAGCTGGGAATCACTGGCTACGCTCAACCCTTTGAGGACCCCCAGAGAAACGTTTCAGAGTGCAGGGCTGAGGACCGGGAAGGGCAGTGAGCAGGCACTGTCAGTAGGGGAGGAAGGCTGGGGCCCACTTGGCTTCAGTCTCCCCAGGAAGGGGGAGGGCAGTGTCCCACAGGATCTGCCTCGCCTCTCCTCGCCGGGGGACAGCAATAGCAGCAGCCAGCCCATGCAGGGTGGAGGAAGGCGCAGGGAGGGCACCCCCCAGACATGGTGCTATACCAGAATAGAGCCAGTGAGGGGGTGCCGGGCTTGTGGCTGATGTGCTGGCCCAGGCTGCAGGAGCTCCACCCCCAAGGGTCAGTCTCCTGCGTGGCTCCAGTGAGGCAGCCCAGCCCGTGACAAGGGACTAGGCCATTACTGACGTGGGAAACCGCATCGGGACCTGCGGCTGCTGCCGGAGTCCTGCGGTGGGACAGGTTGGTGACGGGGGATGGACAGGCTGGGGCCTAGGAGGAAGCGGTTTGAGAGTTAGGCCTCGGGGCAAGTCCCTCAGCTCTGAAATGGGGATAATCCTGCCCCAGGTGTCAGATCTGTCCAGGCAGCACCAGCCCCCGCAGGGCCATGGGGTAACAGCAGCAGCTGTTCTGCAGCGTGGCTACCTCCCCTTGGATGGCTCCAAACACAAATTCAGAGCCCGGGGAAGCTGAAGGCTTCGACCAAGCTCACCCCAGCCTGGTCCCATCCCCCACGATCCCTGGGCCCACAGCCAGGACTGCTTGAACTACCCCCTGCCTGCAGCCACAGCCCTTTCGTCAGAGAAAACAGCTGCCTGGACTGGGTCCTGGGGAGGCACTCGCCCAGCCAGCCAGGATGAGCACGTGAGCAGGCTGCTGTCCCATACCCGCAGGGGGAGAGCTGGCCCAGGCAACGGGTACGCTGGTAGCAGCACTGACCATGCCCAAGGATTGCCAGGGGCTGTGATGGTCCCACAGGGAGCTGACACGTAGCTCCAAGGCGACTTCAAGCCCCCCGGGGGGAAGCAGGGGCTCAGTGAGACGCTGAGCGCTAGCCTTGCCCCGGCCATCCCAGCACAGGGCCGCCCGTCTCACCGCCGCAGATGGGAAGGGCTCCTGGAGCTGCAGGCGAGAAACCAGTCGAGGCAGCATGGTGCTTTAGGCAGATATTTATTGTCACAGGGGGAGGGGATCCAGGACAGCAGCAAGGCCAGGGCGTCCAGGCTGCTCTTACCAGTCTCCTACACATGCATGTGGGAGCAGCACGAAGCTGAGAAGATACAGCCTCCTAGTGCCAGCTTGGAGCAAGCCAGCAAAGCAGCTGGGCCAGGAACCACCCCCACCCCGCTGAGCACCCTGCTTTGGGGACAGTGTAATTCCAGCAACCTTCATCTGCGGGGGGCCGTAAGCCAAGGAGCCTGACTCCAGGGAGCAGCAGAGCAGGGCCTGGGCTGCAGAGCCTGAAAAGAAGGGTGCTCTGGGGACAGGAGGGTGGAGCTCAGCACGGGCCAAGGGGGCTCTGAGCAGAGAGCAAGTGTGTGTGGGTGGTAGCTAAGGGCACCAGAAGTCATCCCCCCTACACCAAGCAGCAGTGACCCAAAGCCAGCAGCAGGGAAGGCAGGAGAGGCTCAAAGCCCATGCGCCTCAGGTCTCCCACTCCCCCAATCTCAATTCCATTAACAGGCTGCAAAAACCATGTCACTGAAGGCAGGTGCGCTCTCCGAGCCAGCCCCCCTGTGCAGGGCGATTACAGGCCGAGGCAGTTACCTGCACTGACCGCCAACACCCCAGTGTTCGTGACAGACGCCCAGCAGGGGTGGGATGGGGTTTGGCAGCTTCCCAGAAAGCCCTGGCCCAGAAAGAGGAACAGGTCACTTCAATAGCCTTCTGGATCCCTTTGAACGACCATCTTACCACCTGGGCAGAGAGCTGCCAGCCAAGCCCCTGCCCCCAGAGCGTGGGAATGAGCCTGCAGTTGTTATGGGGACCCGTGCTCCTAACCATGGAGCAGAGGGGCGTGGTGCCTGCTCACTGCACACACGGACACGTCACTGCAGTTTGTATAGGAAGCAGGGGGCTGCTCCCGGGATATAGGCAGCCAGCCTGGCAGGACAGCCGGCTCAGAGCCCCCAGAAGAAGAGTGGCAGCTGGTGGGGACCCTGGGGGAGCCACGGGGGTTGGGCGGGCAGGCTGGCTAGCACCCACACACAGCAGTAGGCACGTACCGCCCCCACAGCCACTGCAGGGCCAGCCTCGCTCGATACCTGTTCCCAGGTTGCGGGCAGGTTAGCAAGAATCTTTCTGGGGCAAAGACATTTGCTGGCCAGGTCCCCCCGTCAGTGGCTGGCCGGCCTCAGCACCAGCAGGTCCCCGGGAAGCAAGTGCTGCCTGGCGACAGGGGGAAGGACAGTCACTGGGTGCTGCTCAGAGCCCTGCAATAGCCAGCAAGAACCTCTGCTCCTGCCTCAGCTCTTTGGACAAGGGCGGCTCGGCCTTCTGCCCTCGGAGGAGTCAGACAAGATGATGCAGGAATTACACAGCAGCATCCGCTACACTAAGGGAGGCAAGAGGAACACTCACATGAAGCTTCTGGGGGACAATACTTACTGGAGCCAGACTGCTCGAGTCTCAGCCTTGGTAAAGGGGACATTTAAACTCAGGCAACACATGTCTAATGAGTCACTCGAGAGCAAGGAGTGAATGGCTGAGAGATGCCAGTTCCCTCAGAGATCAGCACTGGCTCGCTCAGTGAAGCACACACAGCTGATCAGTACAGTGACACAGGTACAATTATAATACATGGACTGGAGCCCTCCTGCTACATGGCTGCACAGGCCCAGCGCCTGTCCCAGGCCCCGCTGGCCCCTCACAGCACACAGAACTCACAAACAACGGCAGCTCTGGAACAACAGACTGTCCAGTTTCCATCCGAGCCAGTTCCAGAGAGGAGCCGTCCCCGGAGCGAGGACTAGTGATCATTCGAATGTACTGGGGGGAAGGGCAGTTCCACTGGGCTCCACCCGGCAGCAGGAGGGCCGAGGGCGGTTAGAAGATGGGGATGTAGTTGTCGATCTTGGCGCGGTGTCGCTGCGCGATGCACTCGGCAATCCACACGATGTTGCGACACTCCTGCTCCTTCAGCTTGACGAAGGCGTAGAAAACCCCGAAGTGGAACTGGTTGAGGAAAGCCAGTTTGTTCAGCTTCACCTTCGAGAGCAAAGAGCACGGGTCACGGCCTGCAGCACTGCCCCCTCCCAGCAGCCGGCCACCCCCCTCAGAGACCCCCATTCCCAGCCCCACAGCTCCGGAGAACGGGGCTCCTGGGGTGAATGGCCCCAGCCAGAGTGGAGCTCCTGGTGCAACCAGCAGTGCAGGCTCAGCACCTGGGCAGAGTCCGTAGGAGAAGCCTGTCCTCGAGCACCAGCTGGCAGCTCAAGCGGGGCAGGAGGGTGGCGTGGGGGAGGAGAACAGGGACATACCCACCAGGTTTGGGTTGCCGCTGTCTTTCCGGGGAAGCCCCAAGAGCCCTTTGCAAGTCTCATTGTTGCTCCCTAGGTTCTACGGCGAATCACCTGGCAGGGAGCTAGGGCCTGGGAAGGAAAGCAGGGGCAGGTGGCACGGCCCAGAACATCTGAGCCAGTAGCCCCGCCCCCACCGTGTGACTGCGACTCTGCTTGCAGATGCTCTGGAGACTTCCGCTGAGCGCTGCAGCTGCAGCAGCTCCTACGGCTCACCACAGAGGGTCCTTCCCTCACCTCATGCTCGAAAAAACGGTCCTCCAGGGTTTTGTCTCCAGGGTTGCTGCCGGCTCCTTCGAACAGCAGTTTGTATTCCTATGGCAAGAGGAAGGGGTCAAGGAACACAAAACAAGAACCCGGCTCAGCATCGTCCCTCCCTGCAGAATGCTCATACATCAGCCAGCCCCCATGGGTGGGTGTGTGTGTGGGGGGGTGTCCTCTTTCCCACCCTGCAGAGGGGAGCTAAGTGCCAGCTCCAGACAGAAACCCTTTCATCCCGGGCAATTTCTCACAGCAGCCTGCACCACAGACGGCAAGAAACGACGGTCAGAAGTGAAACAGACTTTTGTCCCTCCACCAGGCTGGCAGCAGCAGGCATTGGGCTGGCTCCCAGAGGAAGGCCAGGATTCTCTGCAGCAAGCACTGATGATTTACCACCCACTTACATTATTCGAAATAGGGCACTTAATCTGGAGTGAGAGCGTCCACACAGGCTTGCACTGAAACTACAGGTGTCAATGACAGCAGATTTGGGGCCTGGTTTGCGTGTAGACAAGTGCAAATATGAAACAGATTTCATTGCTCTGGTTCCAACAGGAATTAATTCAGGACAGTTCTCTGCTCTACGTTATGCAGGAGGTCACATTAGATGAAGCCAGTGGTCCCTTCTGGCCTTGGAGTCTATGAATAAACCAGGGCTGCTCTGTGTGGGCACTCACTGGTTTAAACCCAGCTCCTGGAGCATTTACAGGTGCAAGCTAACCCATGCAGATCAGGGCACACCACCAGTTGCACCTTTCGTTAAACCAGTGCAGTGTGTGTTGAGACAAGCCCTTGGCTACAGATGCCTGCCGTGGGGTGTATCATTCTAGAGGAGACGGGTCTCCATCCTCAGGCTCCCAGCAGGTTTCCAGGCACTCACCATACAGCATTCTAACGCTAGGGTCCAGTCATAAGGCGGGGCGGGGGGGTCCCTTCAGCCACCACCTCCATGAGTGCCCCCCTATTGCTCCGTGACCCCAGCCAGGTCTGGGAGAACAGCCTGGATGGAGACATGGGGGCTCAGAACTGGGTCTCAATGCCCCTGTGCAGCAGAAGACTCAGGCTCTTCAACAGAGGGAAAAAAATATAAATAGCACCTTGTATCCCACCCTGCAACCAGCACGGCACCGAGGGAGCCCGGTCCAGCCCTCTCTCAGCCAAAGGGAGCGTTGCTGTGACAGGAGCCCCTGCCAGACGAATCCTGAAATGCACCAGGGTATCCCGCCCCCATCCCCCTTCTCCCTGCATATTGTGCCACAAACTCACTGATCAATCGGCAGAGAGCAGTCAGTTCCTGGGACCCCCCGCTGGTACTTACAGGGTAGTAGTCTGCTACTGTTTTGACTTGCTCGTAGTCATCTGCTCTGGCTAGCTGGGCCAGCCCCTCAGGATAGAGTTTCCCGCAGTGAGGAAACAGCTTAGCTCGGTCCTCTTTGGAGAGCTCCGTGCCAAACGAGTTAATGGTGATGATGAAGGCTCTCCTGTCAGCTTCAAACTAAGAGACCGACAAGTGGCATTAGGCAGTGCTGTGTCCGCCCGTCCCCCTTGGGTAAAGCGCAAACCTTCAGCTGGGAGTTGGCAAATACAGCGCTCAAGCTGTAGGCTGATGAATGGAGCAAGGCCAGGCCAGTGATAAAGAGCAAATCCAGCTTCGTTAGGGCACGTGAGAGCACAACCCAGTCACAGTTCTGCCACCCTCAGCAGGGCCAGGCTACACAGCCTGTGGCACACGCCTGGCACACGTGGCCAGAGCCCCCCAGCCAGCTGCTGTTTGTGGGGCAGAATGCCGGGTGCCAGAGGAGAGTCACCGTTCCTACTGAGCAGCCTGGCTTCAGAGCCGGGCTGAGGAGCGCTCGGGAACTGGGAGCGATGGTCTGAAAACCTGGGGACCACGTCTCGACTAATTGGTTTGGTCTCGGTGCTAGCAAATGAACTGCTTGTCCCACCTACTGCACTCGGGTGCTGCACGCAGTCACTGCCCCAGGGTCGATTTTCTAAAGCCAGGCACAGATTTGTGCAGCCTGTCTGCAGAATCACTGTTCGGATTCCGGCTCCTCGGCACTAGTGTGCCATAGTCACAGGGAACGAGGCTGAACTGGTGGAGACAGCCTTGCAAGAGGCCCAGCGTTGCACTCCATTGCTAGGAGTTCGCAACAGAGACAAGGTGTGGGAAAGCTCTGGCCACAGGAGGGGGGAGAAATGTGGGGGGGAAGTAGCTCCCTTTTATGGACAAAGTCCCTCTTGGTGGCTGCTCTCCGCTTGCTTTACCTGTAAAGGGTTAAAAAGTCCCCCAGGTAAAGGAAAGGGAGTGGGCACCTGACCAAAAGAACCAATGGGAAGGCTAGAACTTTTTAAAATGGGGGGAAACGTCCCCTTTGTGTCTGTTGCTGTTCTCTGGGAAAGAGGGGAACAGGGAGCAGTTATGCTATGAGAAGCGTTAAGCTAGGTATGATCATAGAGCATCAGCTCATACCTAGCATGACTTATTTGGAACCCCCAGATGTGTAAGTAGATCAGAAATGTTTAGAAAGACGCGATTAGGTTTATTTCTGTTTATTTCTATTGGCTGGTGGACTCCTCTGTGCTAACCCCAAGTGCTTCTGTTTGCTTGTAACCTTTAAGCTGAACCCCGAAGGAAGCTATATTGGGTGCTTAATGTTTGGCATTGCTCTTTTAAAATCTAGCAAAAGCCTAAGTTCCAGATGTATTTTCTCTCTTTTTGTTTTTAATAAAATTTACCTTTTTATTTATTTTTAAGAACAGGATTGAATTTTTGGTGTCCTAAGAGGTTTGTGCATGTTTGATTAGCTGGGGGTAACAGCTAATTTCCTTTGTTTTCTTCCTCAGCTCTTCCCCGGGGGGGGACGGGGCGCGTGCATGTGAGAAAGGGCTCCAGGGTACCCACAGGGAGAAATTCCCAAGTGCGCCTTCCTGGGTTCCAAGGGGTTTGCACTTGGGTAGTGGCAGCATCTACGCAGCCAAGGACAGAGAAAAGCTGTAACCTTGGGAGTTTAATACAAGCCTGGAGTGGCCAGTATTCATTTTTTGAATCCTTGCAGGCCCCCACCTTCTGCACTCGAAGTGCCAGAGTGGGGAATCAGCCCTGACAAGAGGTGTCCACCAGTCCCTTTGGCTGAGGGGCAGAGTGCGCCCAAGGACAGGTATGTGCCGGGCCATTTGAGCAGAGACCCGTGGGAGGAATACTCATGGGCTTGGCTGCCAGGATTGGGGAGAGCCACATCCCACCCTTTGCCCTTCCAACTGCTTCATAACTTGCTCTGTCCCCGGGCTCCTCTCCGAGCCAAAATGCACCACCTCCCAGGCCTTTTGCATTTCTGGCGGAGGGCAAAGTGGGAAGGTGTTTGTGGGGCCTGCTGCGACATCACCTACTTCCCAGTGCTAGCAACAGCTTCTCCTGGCTACCCAACCAAGCCAGCTAGCCACATGCACGGAGGTGCAAAGGAATTTTAGAAACCAACGTCTCTGCGGTCAATCGGCAGCTCTGCTCTGGCTGGAGCGCGCTGAGCAGCGCATGGTGCGATTACTGTTACATTATACCATGCAGAATGTCCCGTCTGCAGCCTACCTCCAGGATTGGACACATGGCGTCTGCAGTCGTGCCTCCCAGGATGCTGCAGAACTTGTAGAAGGATTCCAGGTACGCCTGAGGAGAAAGCCAAGCAGATGAGAGGATGAGTGACACTTACCTACAGCCCACATGATCCCCAAGCATTTCCGAACGTGTCAAAAGGCCTCAAGACATGAGCCCAGTAGGACCTCTGCATCACGGCACACGTCTCATGTCACTACTGCTCATCTGGTACATCCCCATTAAGCGCCACCCACTCCAATCACCATGCTTCCGTGGAAGTGGAGGGAGGCTAACGAGGAGAAAGGCTGCAGTTTGATTTCAGAAGTAGCTAGGCAGCCTGGCAGCATGGGCCTCACTTGCATTGCCAGAGGTCCTGAGTTCAAACCCAAGGGGTGCCCTGACAGCTGTGAATACATCTACGACTCCTCTAATTGGTCCCTTCTTGTATTCCAGACTATGAACCAAACAAATAGGCAATGAGGCAGGGTATGCTGGAGTTCCTCATGGGGGGTGACTCACTCTGGTCTAGCCAGTAACAGGCTGCCTGAATTTGTGCTAACATGCTTCATAGTTCATAGCGTAGCACTTCCAGGTCAGAAGGCACTTCCTGCTGAAGGCCCTGTGCCTCCCACCTTGCCTGCCATGGGGCAGGCTGTCTGATAAGATACAAGAGATGCAAAGCTACTGTGATGTTGCACTCTGTGATTTTACGAAAATATGCTAATGTAACTGGAATATGCTTCATGCAAAAAGGTCTCTTGTTAAGGTATCAAATCTACTGAGTGTGATCATCCTATTTGTATAAATGTACCACTCTTGTATCTGAAACTAGAAATATGAAATAGAACTCTGAGGGCCTATTGTAATGATGCAAAGTGTGGGCCATTAATGGTGGTTTGGAAACTTGATAACTCCCATTAACCAGGACAATTGACAGCAGATGGCTCTGTTTTACCTGTGAGTCTTCCTGTATACGTGTGTGCTGGCAAGTGGGTAATGAAGTCTTACAGTGACATGTGATCATGTCACCTGAACTGGAATCCATCTTTAACCTGGTGCTTTTCCATTGGGGGGCGGGGGGAGGGGTGAGGGGGGAGAGACACCCAGAGGGACAAAGGATTCCTGCCTTATGCAAAAGATATATAAAGGGGTGGAACAGAACAAAGAGGGAGAGCCATCATGAGGAATCCCCTAGCTACCACCTGATCTGGAACAAGGGCTGTACCAGGGGAAAGGACTGTGCCCAGACTAGGAAGGCGTCCAGTCTGTGAAAGAAACTTATTAAAACATCTCTCAGGGTGAGATTTTATCTGTACTCAATTGTATTACTGTATTAGGCTTAAATGTGCGCGTTTTATTTTATTTCATTTCACTTGGTAATTCACTTTGTTCTGTTACTACTTAAAACCACTTAAATCCTACTTTCTGTATTTAATAAAATCACTTTTTACTTATTAATTAACCCAGAGTATGTATTAATACCTGGGGGGGGGCAAACAGCTGTGCATCTCTCTCTATCTGTGTTATAGAGGGCGAACAATTCATGAGTTTACCCTGTATAAGCTTTATACAGGGTAAAACGGATTTATTTGGGTTTAGACCCCATTGGGAGTTGGGCATCTAAGTGTTAAAGACAAGAACACTCTGTAAGCTGCTTTCAGTCAAGCCTACAGCTGTTAGGGGACGTGATTCAGACCCTGGGTCTGTGTTGGAGCAGACGAGCGTGTCTGGCTCAGCAAGACGGGGTGCTGGGGTCCCGAGCTGGCAGGGAAAGCAGGGGTAGAAGTAGTCTTGGCACATCAGGTGGCAGCTCCCAAGGGGGTTTCTGTGATCCAACCTGTCACAGCTACACCTACCCTAGGACTGCAACACCAGCCACCTGCAGGACTAGTGAGGTAAACTGCTGGACTGTCTCATTCAGCGCCGCTGCGCTACACACGGTCACTACTAAGAAGTCCCCATTGAGGGCCTGATGGCCACAGGAAAACCAAAGGAGCCACAGTCTCATTGTTGTAGCGGAGAATCACTCTGGCCTGGTCTATGCGCAGACTGTAGACTCATTTGTTCTCTGAAGTGCCATCTAGGTTTGGGCAGCTAACAGAAAATGCACGACACCCTCAACCCACCCTTTCTATCAAGGCTGCTCCCTGGGGGAGAGGGGTGCAGGGAGCTTGTTGGGAGCGGGGGGTCATTGTGGAATGCCAGCTGGAGAGATTAAAGTACCAGCTGGGGTTAGACACATGCTAAGATACCAGGCTAAGTCGCTTCTGACTCCAGTGAGAGACCAGAGAAGTGCCGTTAAAGTGAAACTCTTCCTAGGAAGATGCTGTCTCACAGCGAGTCACCTCGCTGCACATTCACAACTGGAACATGCCAGGAAACCGCAGTGGGGAGGGAGCGAGAAAGGTACACCAGCGGGAGGCGGTGGGGAGTGCTGCCTTGCACAACTGCCGCTCTGGGCAAAGGTGTTCCTCATTTCCACAAGGGCTTTCAACCGAGAAATCAAGAATGTGACGTGCCCCAGGATGGAGCGCTCTCGCTTGGGTCCCAGGGTGATGGCATCTGCCCAACAGTCATTGCCTTCAGCTCTGCCATTCACCACTCTCGGGCCAGGACTTCCATTGCAGCCCCAGATCTCACAGAGCTTTCTGACCAACTCCCTGAGAGCGCTCGCTCCCTGCTCCACGCTTGGCCTCAGCCTGGAAGCAAATCTGGGGAGCAAAGTTGAGGAAAATCCTTCCTGCTATTGAGTTACACGAGCCAGACAAACTTGCAGCATTTTAGAGTTTTCTGCTAGCCAGTGCAGCAGAGCTACCAGGGAACCCCACCCTCTGCATGTTAAGGGGCCCAGAGCAAGCAGCCAGCCCCTTGGGAGGGTTATTGAATGAAACACCATCGGGTCTAAAGGGGCTCCGTCCTGTCATGCACTGCACATACAGCTAGGGACAGTCCCTGTGCTGAGGAGTATTGCCTCCAATACTAGAGCAGCGACAAGAGGTAAGAACACAGGCAATGTCTGCAAAATCAGCAGAGTGTCCTATAAAGGAATTAAATACAAATCGCACCTCATCTTAAAAAAGCACCATACAGGAGCTAGGAATTATTATTAGTCAAAAACAAATCTAGAAGAGTTTCTATACAAATGCAAGGAGTTTAAAAAAAAAGCTAGGATCTGTAGAATGTTTGGCAGTTGACTGAGGTCCTTGACATCAGAGGCATCAGCCACTGTTTCAGGGAACTGAAGGGAGGCAAATGTGCCCATATTTAAGCAGTTCATGGGGTGACCTGCGGAATTATACACCTGCGTGCCTTTTGTACCCGACAAACTGAATTGATATCGTCACGGGGCGAGAGGCAAAGTATTGTCACGCATCAAAAACTGCCTAGGAGACAGAAAGCAATGAGTAGGGTTGAACGGCGAACAGCAGGGCCTCAAGACACTGTCCAAGGTCCCGTGCTGTTTAATGTGTTTATTAAACATCTGGAAAGGGAGCGTGCAGCAAGGAACTTCAGAGACAACTGACCAATCCGGGAGAATGGGCAACACATAACAATGTTGCTATGGGCAGCTCAACAGAGACCTCTGCTCCATGTGCAGCTGTGGTCAGAAAAGCAAAAGATGTTCGGATGCATAAGGCCTGGGATGGAGAACACCACAGAACATACTAACAACTTTATATCAATCACTGGAGCAGCCTCGTCTGGATACTGTGCACCGTACTGGTCACCGCACCACACACACAATCACAGAAGATTAGGGTTGGACGAGACCTCAGGAGGTCATCTAGTCCAACCCCCTGCTCAAAGCAGGACCAACCCCAACTAAATCACCCCAGCCAGGGCTTTGTCAAGCCTGACCTTAAAAACCTCTAAGGATGGAGATTCCACCACCTCCCTAGGTAACCCATTCCAGTGCTTCACTACCCTCCTAGTGAAATAGCGTTTCCTAATATCCAACCTAGACCTCCCCCACTGCAACTTGAGACCATTGCTCCTTGTTCTGTCATCTGCCACCACTGAGAACAGCCGAGCTCCATCCTCTTTGGAACCCCCCTTCGGGTAGTTGAAGGCTGCTATCAAATCCCCCCTCACTCTTCTCTTCTGCAGACTAAATAAGCCCACTCCCTCAGCCTCTCCTCATAAGCCATGTGCCCCAGCCCCCTGATCATTTTCGTTGCCCTCTGCCGGACTCTCCAATTTGTCCACATCCCTTCTGTAGTGCGGGGACCAAAACTGGACACAGTACTCCAGATGAGGCCTCACCAGTGCCGAATAAAGGGGAATAATCACTTCCCTTGATCTGCTGGCAATGCCCCTACTAATACAGCCCAATATGCTGTTGGCCTTCTTGGCAACGAGGGTACACTGCTGACTCATATCCAGCTTCTCGTCCACTGTAATCCCCAGGTCCTTTTCTGCAGAACCAGAGGGGTTTAGAAAAGAGCACTGAGAAGGACCAGAGTACATTCAGGGATGTGTGGTTTTTTTACACAAATACACTGCCCCAAGCTGTTTGCACATGTGCTGCATGCAAGAGACCATGCTCAGCTTAGCAGGTTTTCCCCTAACTAGCCTGCAGGCTGAAACTGACCTTCACTACCACCCATCAGAAGCAGAGGTCACACCCCAGCTGTTGGCTAGTTCCGATCATGAAAACAAGACAGACAGATATAATCTGTATCCCGCCCCTCACCCAGACACTCAAGATGGAGTGATAGCCGCATGGCAGCACTGGCTGTGACAAACACAGGAGCTGGTTTTCATATTAATGAGAAGTTCCTGATAGTGCTGGCTAGAACCAGACTGTACTGGTAGGAGCTGCAGTTAGCTCTCCACACAGCTCTGCTGGCGCCCCTCAATCCTGATCTGCCACGCACACTGCTATTCCCTCTGTGCTCCCCACACACAGCTCTGCCGGTGCCCCTCAATCCTGAACTGCCACGCACACTGCTATTCCCTCTGTGCTCCCCACACACAGCTCTGCCGGTGCCCCTCAATCCTGATCTGCCAC